GTGAGCGAGAAGGAGAAAGAGGAGTTGGAGCGACTGCAGAAGGAGGAAGAGGAGAGGAAGAAGAGGCTGCAACTCTATGTGTTCGTCATGCGCTGCATAGCCTACCCCTTCAACGCCAAGCAGCCCACCGACATGGCTCGCCGGCAGCAGAAGGTAGGTGCCCCGGGGAGGCCCAGGGAGCAACGCCGGGAGTCGCCGGGAGGGGCCGATAATGGGAGCTGGCAGCGCAGCTGGCAAGAGGAGGAGACCGCGCCCTGGGAAAGGGGCTTCGAGACCCCTTAGCGCAGCCCGGCCCAGCCCAACCCAGTCCAACCCAGTCCAGAGCGTGCCAGCGGCGGCTGGGAACCGGTGAGGGGCCTGGCGCCTGACGCCGCGTAGCCAGGCCTCCCTTTCCCGGAGCGCTGGGGAACGCCACAGGCAGGACCCGCCTTGTGGCCCGGGAGGTTCGGAGAGTGACTTGCAGCCCAGGGCGCCCAGAGAGGCCTTGCTTCAGAGCTCCGAGCGCTCTCCAGCGGCGGGCGGCCGCCCTCAGCTAGGGGCCCGCCCTCCTGGGCGTGCGCTCGGTGGGCGGGGGCACTGGGTGTGGAGGGAGAAGAGTCCAGGAGCCCGCGCTCGGCTCTTCAGAGCAGAGAGCAGGCGCACCTGCTGGCAGAGAGAGCAATTCTGGAAGGTGAAGCTTCCCGCAGCACTGTTTTCTTTAGCACAGTCCTCACTTCGCCTGGGTCAGCTGATCCCCGACTAGGGTCGCCTAGGGGTCCTGGAGCGAGTTGCCCCTCAGGTCTAGGTTTTTTCCTGTTTCTCTTTCCGACCTCATTCCAGATTTGGGGCACGCCCTTTGATTCCTCCGCTGGGGTCATCTCTTCCACCTGGCTGCCTTTGACTCTTTTTTTCTCAAGGTGACTTCGCAGCCAAAGGCCTCTAAACCCGGGCCGCTGCTGGCTTGCTAAAGTGCAGCTGCAAAAAGCCTCGCAATTACAAACATCAAAAGCTTTTTGTGTGAGGTTGGGGCCAGGCTGAGGCGGCTTGGGCTGCCTTTGATGTGAAAAAAAAGCGCTGATTTCTATGGGCTGATCCTCAGCAAGAGAAAGGAGGGGGGGTTACTGCGAGGAGAGGGGCTGTGGCAGGAGTCCAGAAGAGAAGGGGCCAGGTGCCCAGTTTGGAGTGAGTTAATGAAGAAAGTCAGCGTTCATATTCGGTCTCATTTAAGTGAATCTGCTGCACTGAAGCAAGCAGAAACGGCACTCACATCCTCAGAGGGGCTATGTGAGAAGGCGGCTTTAACCCCACCAAGATTGTGAGACTAGTGAGACTAGTTTCTTAAAATAGTAAATTTCTAAGTTGCCATTTAAGAATGAATTTAATGTTGCTATAGTAGAGTGTTAGGTTTTCCTATATTTATCCACGCTTATCTAGAGTTACCACAGAATTCTGTTTGTTTTGCATATGTATGTACAAACACCACCCAGCGCTGATGATTTACTTCAGCTATCACAAGTTTGCTTATCAATTTTATCTTAAAAAATAAAACTCATTTCCTGGTTGAGAAACATCAGGTGGGCTATACACAGTAGTCACTCCCCACTCCCCACCAAGCATGCTTGCTCCCTATTATTGCTCCCTTGCCTTTTCAAGGTATGTTTTGAACCACAGAGAGCCAAAGTATCCTCAGAACAGTAAAAGTTTTTTTCGGTATTTGTTTTAAGGTTGGATGTTAGGTCCTTTGGTGCACAGGACCTGATATTTCAAATTTCAGCTTGGACTTAACAGTAATTGCCTTTATAGCATGGGAAATCCCATCTCCAAAATCTATTAATAACTGCACCAACCAAAAACTTCCTATTCTTTGGTAATGAAAACTGTTGTCATTTACATAAACAAAAGAACAAAAGACACTCCTTTGCCGTTTATCAATCAAAAGTTTTCAGAATTCTGTTCTTTAAATGTAGCTTAGACCAAACATAAGAATGGGAAAAGGATCCCATGCCCACAGACCGGTTCTAAACACAGCCCTCAGCCACCTGAGAAAGATCATCATAAGGCCATGTTTTCTAATCTGATTGTGTGTTTAACCTGAATCCATTCAAAGCTATGATTTTCAGGGGCCAGTTGGTTCTGTTTTTACAAATGACCTTAACGTTGGAGATACTCCAGTATGGATGGGTAACATTTTGCATTTGGTCAAAATCTTTTCTAGTTATTACAACCAATAGTTCTAAATTAGTATCTCAGCAAAGCCACAGCTACAGTGGGAAGCTGAATATATGTATTCAGTTCTCTTGGTTTTTCAACCTGTGTTGAAAAAAATACATAGATATGTCTCCATTTCCTCTTATTACAAAGGTAAATAGGCTTTTCCATTGCTATTTTTAAGTTTTCCTTTCTGAAAAAAGAACGTTTTGCTTGTATGTTTTTTGAAGTATGCACTTTGGAACTTTGATTAAAAAAATAGCAACCACTGAAAGTAACAAAAAGGTTTGTATAATCCTTGTGGTAAAATTTAAATCCAACAAAATAAATTCATGAGCTAAAATTTGTCTTGGAGAAGTGAAAACTAGTTATAAACTAAAAAGGAATTTGTAGTAGAATAGCCAGAGAAGGATTAGAAATGTCAGAGGTAAAATGATGTAGAGAAAGGGAGTGGCAGGAAGGGAGGTAGAGAGAGAATTGCTGAATGTGAGAAAAATAAAAGATTATATTGTACAGAGTATAATACTATATGAAACCAGATACTGTAGTTTGTATCATAATACTAGCCAACATTTTTTGAGTACCTACTACCTTTCACTTCACTTAAATCTTTTTTTAAAATAGAATTTAGTTTTTAGAAGTTTTAGTTTTACTTAAAAATTGAGAAGATTGTAAAGAGTTCCCATGTACTCACACCTACTTTTCCCTATTATTAACATCATAGGAGTAATAGGGTACTTTTGTAATATTAATGAGCTAATATTGGTGCACTGTCATTAGGTACAGCCTATAGTTTATTCAGATTTCCTTAGTTTTACTTCACTTCCTTTTTCTGTTCTTAGATCATTATTTTTTTTTTATTGTGGTAAATAAATATGAAACAAATAGCTTACTCTTTCAAAATTCTTCACTGTACTATCCAGTTACATCAGTTATATTTTTTTATGTTCAAGTATTACTATTATCTGTTCAAAAATTTTCTCAGCACCCTTAAGAGAGTTTAGTGTCTCTTAAGCAATGATCTGATATCATATTTAATTCTCCTAATTATCTTAATAATGTAGGAATGACTTAGAATGTTTTTAGAAAACTGAGACTCAGAGAAGTTTCTGTAATTTGCCTAAAGCACTATATAGTTAGTAAATGTAAGACTAGGAACTGGAGCATGGTCCGTTCTGACTCCAAATCTTATCTTTATAATATGAGACACTGCCATATGTATATTCATAGGGAAGCCTTAGTATCCTGATATGTTAAGCGTGTTTTTTCACCCAGAGCTACGTAACTTTGAGTAGAGAGTTGCCTTCCCCTCTCTCTTTGGGCATCTATCCAGTGGTGAACATTGGCAAAATGGACATTTAGGTACTAACCTCATAAAGAATATGAAGGAGAGAGATGGGTTATTTACTGGTGCATTTGAACATCAGACTGCTATCAGCCTTCTGGTTCAAGCTAAAAGGAAAAAAAAAAAGTATTTAGCTCAGAAACACAACTGGAAGGGAACAGAGGGAGAAGGTGCTATTGCTTGGTTAATTTTGATAGTTAATTACTTTAGTTCAACTTTTACTGGGCAAAAGTGTGCCTGGGAATTCCAACAGCCTTTCCAATTAAAAGAGGGACTTTAAACACAGACTGTCTTTAAAACAGATGTCATCATTTAGAGGTATATTTCACTTGCATCATTGTGAATCTCAATATAATGTGATGGTAGTGATAATTTATGACCAAAATAAAAACCCATCCATTAGACTGCCACAATATATGTTTCCACAGCTTATAAATGACAGTTTGAAAAACAGATTTTTGGCTTTTTTTTCTCTCCTTCTTTTGTCAGAATACTATAGTAAATACCTAGAAGTGGGCATGGCAAAACTATACCATATGTTTTTGAATAATGTAGTAACGGTGAGAGGTGGCTACCTCATGTGCACTAGCTACTTATAGATGTTGGCTGAGAGAATGTAAACTCAGGTTCTGTAAACATTTCTGTGTAAGATTTAGATTGATATGACCAATTTTTAAAGTTGGCTAAGAATCATAATGCCTGCATTACCAAGAATCTAAAACATGAATATTATGTGTGTATATCTTAGATCATTTTTTATTGTGATAAAAATATAATCCCTTGCTTTTTTTTTAACTTTATTCACATGTATAGTTCAGTGACATTAGTTATGTTTATCATGTTGTTAAACCATTACCATTATCTGTTTTCAAATTATCTTATCACCAGAAGCTTAATGTCTTTTAATCATTGATCTTGGATCATATTTAATTCTCTTAATCACCCTATGTGTGTGTGTGTGTCTGTGTGTGTGTGTGTGTATGTGTGTGTATAATGAGAATTTGGTCCCTGAATTGAGGGAGCTTATGTTCTAGTTTGGGAGATAACATATACATATCAAATAAGCTGAGAATAAGAAAATATTTAATTGTAGGATACTGATGACAAAGTACTAAAGTAGGTGGCAAAAGAGAGCATGCATGCACACAGGGCACTGAATATAATAGTGCGGACAGTCATCATGGGGGAGATAGCCAAGGTCAGGTCTTGAGGAATGAGTATGATTTGTCTAAGTATAAGGAAGGACAGAGGTATTCCAGTCTGGGAGAAAAGCATGAGGTAGCAAGAATATGGAAAGCAGCCATTGTTTGTGGAAGACAGTTAGTCAAATTCTTTTGATTCCAAGGGACAGAACCCCGAGTCAGAGTGGCTGAAAAGCAAAAATAAAGAAGGGTGAGTGTATTGATACATGTGATTGATAAGTCCAGTACAGTGGTAATTCCAGGCATGGCTGGATCTAGGAGTTGAAATGATTTCCTCAGCAGAATGAAGAAAGCTGGCAGATGAGAGGAAAAGATATATATTAATACCTTTGTTTGAGGACACATTCTTCCACCAGGTAACCACTGATTATAGGCAGATCATCTATGTCTCTGGGACCATTGCTTCCTCTATCATATAG